CTCAGATCCTTAATCATTATGCCGGATAACACATCCGCCTGCAGGGCTTGACATAATATTTATTCCTGAACTCATTTCGTGGACGTCATCAACCCAGCGCACTGGGACACAGTGACCGTAAATAATTTATAACGACACATCATATAAACACACTTATTTACCAAAATACTGAGTATGTCATCCTAGCAAAATAGGAATCACCCTTGATAAATCAAATAAATAAGTAATGAATATATATGCCAATTTTATATTATCTCACAGCTTAAGAGTACGCATCAATTACTGAAGGTCTAGATTACAACAACGATCAGTGAGTCTCATAATCTTATCCTTCCGTGGTCCTGTTCAACACCTAACATAAGTGCTAGTGTAATCTAGAATACACTACAGTCTTTATCCAAGAGGGGTCTCACTGCCTGTCTAGACTGTGAACGAATAGTTGTCTTACAAGGAACCGATAGGTGATCTTTCTGTTCGAAACACTTCGAACCACACTATCTCAATGTAAGACAAGGAGTATGATTGCATAAATAACTAAACTGCAAGCATATGTACTTTGACCGGAACATGATGGCCAGATCAAAATGAAATTGATAGAATCTGTAAAACCGAGCTTTTACAACATACCTCTAACAATTCTGTGTCCCAGCTTTGAGCCTCACTTATACCGAGTTGCTCATATTAATGTCTTTACCTGAATTATGATCCTGTCGAGCTTCTCATAACGGTGTTTATATTCAAGATCCTCTTACTGTGACCTACAAATAAGGGTATCTGTACCCGAGTTTCTATTATACCGAGCTTCGGGTATAGACGAGATGCTTTCGAGCTCATCATCTTAGCTCTCCTCGGTCTGTCAACCGAGCTAACCCTGACCGGTCCACCGAGTTACTCCTATATGCTATATCATCTAGTCCCCCATTATCCAATGAGTTATGGCTTTCCGAGCTCCATAGACTTTTTTGATAATTACAAAAAAATTATGGCAAAGGTGTCGACCTACTTCATGATACTTTGTATGACCTTCATTCCAAGAGACGTGTTTCGTACATCAAATTGCCGACCTATCTACGACACTCTTTTGCCGACCTGCATCCGAAAAGACGTGTCTCATGCAGTGTGTCTGTCTTTTCACATATCCGGCCCATCAATTCTCTCGGATGCCATACCTAAGGCTTACCTTACAACCCTTGGGTGTATTTTGATCGGACGATCGCCCTTATTCCACCTTTACTATAAATACCTCATTTCTTCTCTAAAAAAACATTTTTCACCCCTAAATTTTAGATCTACTTTTAGCAAGAACAACGTTTTCCAACCTCACCGACAATTGCTCCCCGTTCTCCGGTGTTTGTCCCTCTTTTATGTGGCTACTTCATCGACTATTGGTAAGTGCTTTGTCCCTCCCTTTTTGTTTGGTATTTTATTGTCTTTCGACTTGCATTATTCCTTCGATATTTTAATTTTTCAGGCACTGTGTTTTCTGGCATCCATATTTTTTTGTTCTCATTTACATGTATATACTTTCTTTGTTTTGTTTTTCTCTTCTCTTTTTTTTAGATCTTCCTTCTTGTTCCTCTAGCCTTATAGCTATCTCATCGACTTTCGACCTCTCTAACCACAGTTCGGGCTCTTCATTAGAGGATTCCCTAGCCCATATGAACACCCCTATCTGAGCACACCCATGAGGTCGGTTTTGTATCCTCGTGATGAAGCTTTCGGGGACATCCCATGGGACTCCCTAATACAAATTGTAGACAATAGCTCCCTTTACCTAGATTATGAACCTCTAGAGGGCCTCCCTCAACCTACATCCGATCTACGTGCCCGTAGAGCTAATATAATGGTAGATGTTTACCAACCCGCCGACCTCATCATATAATGAGCCTCCGGTGCTGTAGTATTAATTATGGTGAGGAACCTAAAATAAAATCCTTTATGAGGTTGTGGAGCTCCCTCCTGATTGGGCCTTACAAGCTCCCTCTTTAGGTAGCTAGTACAACCGTCCTCCTTCTGGTTTCCTTTTTTTTTTTTTTTGTCGACCAAGTAGTTAGTGCTCTCCGTTTT